GGTGGTCAAAGCTGCTAGCGCCCTCGGCGTGCGGGCCCGACCTCTGCTTTCGCATCGCTCCGAGCCACAGTTGCGGCCCTGGATGTTACACACAGAAGCTTCGCCTCGTGTTTAGCATCAGGGAGTAAGGAGGGATGGTCCTGTTAACGGGGGAGACTGTGTCACGCCATAGTATTTATTCCTTATTGCGTCTGCAATAAAAATGAAGCTTTTGAATGAGGTAAACTTCAGGCTGCTCTCAAATCTTTTAACTCTGTTAGCTGGCAAACAGGTTCTTCTGACAGTAGTGAAAAGGGGTTGTTGTCATGTATGGATTTGGAGAATATAAGAAGTGAACTGCCAGCTGATAAAAGCAGAATGAGCCCTCTGTAGATCCTGGTTATACATGTACAGGTGTCTGCACAGAGCAGTGTGAAGGAATGTGGCCTAAACTGAATCAGCAAATTCACCATCTCCTCATGAAGCAGAAGTTTCTGCTCAGAAACATCAATCAAACAAGTTATACACGTGTTATTTAAGACATTCAAACGTGTAGAAGAAAGCTATCTGGGCTTTTATTGCATAACTTAATATATATCCTTTATTTGACAGAGTATTCCAGAGACCACCTGTGACTGTTTTCAAGATAGTGCCACTTAGTGAGGTTATGGGAGTAAAGAAGCCATGTCAGAAGAAGCTGTTACTGAGACACGATTTTCTCTGAAGACGGTAGCCTTACGGGTATTTCACCTTCCCCTTTCCTGGTATCATTCTCTTAACCAGGTAATATGTATTATCAACATATTGTCACTTTTGATGTGCATTTAGGAGTTTAATACTTTTAATTATAATGTTGTACTTGCTCTTCTGAGCTTCATGTGAGTTAAATTTGTACAAAATACCTTGATTTTTAGTTTATTTAGAACATTGAACCAAAGTGGGGGGGTTCTTATCTTTTTCTCCTAATAAACGCTTAGTGCATCATCCTACATCAGACTGAAGAGATTGCTTTATCTTCAATGTCAATATGTCTTCATTTTGCAACAGCGCAATGGCTCTCATTGAATCAAATACCAAAATCCTCAATTTGTCTTTTTTTTTTTTTTTTTTTTTCCTTTTTGGTAGAAGCTTTGAGGCATTTCAAAACTAAACATAACTGTCATTAAATTTTGTATAATGGTATTGAGTGGGGTCTGAAATACTTTCTAGGTTGCCAGTGCCACTCATCAAATTAATCTGAATGATAAGTGGCATATGACTGTGTTTATTTGACTTACAGAAAGAGCTTCTTCAAATAAAATCTTAAGGCTCTACTAATCATAGCATTTCCTTTAACAGATGGCCCTGAAGTGACTTATTTTTATTTTCTTGTATTGATATTACAGGCTAGTTTTCACTAGCCTAGAATGCAGTAACTCAAGTCTAGATGATGAAAAGTACATCGCAAGCTATGTTTTCAGGTTGCCAAAAGCTGGAAGTATTGTGAAGTGATACTTCTTGTCTGCAGGGAATCCTAAGATTTGTCCCTAGAACATCTTCATGTTAAAGACAGGGAGGAGGAGCTGTAAATTGTGTTGTGGAGGTTCAAAGAGAGGTGTTAGTTGCCTATGTGATAGGCAGCTATGCCTGACTACATATGTGATAAATGATAGACTGAAATAAGTCAGAATTACTTGAGAAAGTATGAAGTCTTCAGTCATATCCCTCAGAGAATAAATTTCTTGAAGAGTGAGCCACATTCTAATGCCATAATACACAGGATGAAAAAAAGAGTCTCTAGCTGGTTGTACAGAACATGATTCAGTAGATTTTTCTTTCTATTCTGTGTATGTGGAATCATTGACAAAGATAACTAAAAAATAATATAATTAGGAATGCCAATAATAATTTTTAAAATAGCTATTAGAAGATCCTAATAAAGTTCTGCCTTTAAAACCAATTTTCTTTAATGTGACTGTATTTGATTTTTACTGAAGTAGATGCTTTTAAGCAACAGCTATGTCATTTTTCATATTTGCATGTAAATGCTTTTCATAATTTTACTGCATATAAAACCAGAATGAGACCGTTTTCAATCATAACTGCATCTGATCATTTTTTTCTGTATCTACGTTAAAATTCTCACTGCAAGATCACAGATTTCTTTTTTACATTGCAGCGTATTTATGCCCTTTTTAAATACCATGTGCAACTCCATTATCTGCAACTATTAGCTTTCCTCTCCTCGGCGGTTTTCATTTCACTGTTAATTTATTCATGACTGTGTTTGTAGGCACAGATAAATTTATAAAAATCCATTTACAGTTCTTTGAAACTTTAGTTTAGCATTTAATTCTATGAACTTTTTTAATCTCAGTTATTTGGTTATTAACTCTTTTCTGTGAAATGCAAATCTTTTGTATGTGTTTGTGCTGCGTTTCAGTGATTTCCTTCTCCTCGCAAAGTACAGTGCTAGCTTTGCAGTCTCAGTCAAGACAGATTACCACTAAGGACAGGGTTCTCGAGTCAAAGGTGTTTGACTTGCTGATTGTGAACTCAATGCAGAGCAAAGCTTTCAGTGTTTCTTTAACTTACACAGCTCTGATAGTATTAACCAATTGCACAGCAACCAGTGACTGCCAGAGCGCAGTGGTATTCTGTGTTGCCAGCTTCTCTCTTGTATGAGGAAACATGTTTCAGAAACATCGTATTAGCCCCAGGACTATTTTTTCCCAGCAGTCTGTTTCTCAAGCAGCCTAGATTTCCAAAAGATTTTGTGAATGTGGACTCCAATTTCCAGTTAAATGGCTCTTTTTTTCTTTATGTATCTTGTAACTTTGAATTTTATAAACTTCTTTAATGGGTTTTAATTCCAGTTCCTCGTATATATGGTTCTTATTTACTAATTTAAATGTCTATAAACCCATGATTGATCTGTATCCAAAATAAAATGTAAGAAATAATAATAAAAAAAAAGGTTTAGAGAAATATGTTTAAATACATGATCTTCCCAAATTGAAACACCATGCAAATGTTAGCTTTTGTATCTTTCACTCTTTCATAGTGCAGGTGGTAATCTAGTTGCGAAGGGTGGGTTTCCTTTCAGTACTTTTTTTGCTGTTAGAGAATTAATTGAAGCCCTGCGTTGTCCTGACATTAAAAATAAATCAATGAATTAAAAATAAAATAAAATTGTCTGAAAGTCACTTACTTAGATCTCTGAAGTTCATGGATTTGCAATATACCTTATAGTTCTCGCTGCTGCTCGCTTTGTCACACCAGCCCCTTTGTAAACCCTGTCACCTTCTGGCCATCACAAATTTTGAGCAGCAGTTAGTTGTGTCCTTTCTCGGTTTCTTCACAGGCTGTGTGAGAGCAGCATCTCTTATGTCCCTCAGACAAGCTGTGGCCTAGGTTGAACACTGCCAAGGGAGAGTAAGAGGAAGGGTGGGAGTTAAGGAGCATATACTTCTAATGAAGTCACACTCTTATTTTCAGATAAAGCTCTCCCCTGGGTTAAAGAAGCTTTTCACGGTAACAGCAGTGAGTGCGATATCTGTTATTTTTCTGGCCCATCACTTTAAAAGAAGACGTGGAAAGAAAAACAAGAAAGTGCCACCATGGGAACCAAGTCATCTAGTACTAGAGTGTACCAAAGCAGCTGCATCAGAAAAAGGTACATGAAGGAACCCCAAGTATTTTTGTTTTCTTGGGGGGAGGAAAAGGGGTGCGAAGGGAAGGGTGTGCATAACTGTGTAGTAGTAAACCAAACTATTTTCATTTAATGCTGAGTAGATTTGAATTGTTAAAGTAGAAATTGTGCAAAATAGGAGCAAAATTACAGTGTCTTAAAATAAGCTGGTCTTGTTCTCAAAGGTGAAGTTTTAGTCATGAATTTGGATTAAAACTTTTTTACCGGTAGTGTATTAACAGTCAGGTTTGCTGTCTTGTGGATATACCTCAATACTGAGAAAAGCAGATTTAATTTTTTATAGGATGGGAAAATAATTATGCTCAAATGCATGGTTATTGTTACAGATGTTGACTGTTGTAATTTATAGCTTCTCCTGTGGAAGGGTAAATAAAAGAATAATTGTTGCATGCTTCTAAAGGTATTTTGTTGAAAAGAGTAAATGCAATTCCTGATAGATCTCGCTAATGAAAGGTACAGTATTTTGAGTCTGCAGCAGCTTTAACATCAGTGTATCTCTTAGGTTCTAGCTGTTCCAGTAGTCGGCAAAACTTGACACTTTCTCTGAGCTCTGTGAAGGAAAAAGGATCTCAGTCTTGTATCTATGCAAATGGCGGACTTTTCAGTAAATGCTCTGGTTCAGTTCAAAGCCTGGCCTCGGTAAGCAAGAGTTTTTTAAGGCTCTTCAATGTCTACTGACTTGCACTGAATATGCATCTAATGGTTTCACTGGGCTGAAAGTACTTTCTTGACAAGCTGCACAGGTGGCTAGGGGTGCTGAGAAGGCCGTTGTACTTACTAGGTAGTAAAACCAGTTTCTAGGCAGGTAGGGTGGATGTACTGTACTCTGGCAGGAATATAGTTTTAAGGACACTCTGTGCAACAGCATTTCAAGTTTTGTTTATTTTTTGAAGGTTCAGAGTGCCACTTCTTGTCACAGTTGTGCTTGTGGCAATTCAAATTCCTGGGATAAAGCAGATGAAGATGATATTAAACTTGTCAATATTCCAGTGACCACACCTGAAAATTTGTACTTGATGGGTAAGTCATAGTAAGAATATTAATTATCTACTAACAATGAGTGTAAATAATTTCTTGGGTTTATGGCAAAGTGACACACTCTATTAGCGTGGTATTCTTTCACAGTATCCTGTTGGCATGTATATAAGAACATTTCCATAAAATAATTATATCTTACTTGATCTAGAGAATAGGTTTTGTTTTATTCCCGTATTTGTAGTAGTAATCCATCAAATTACTTTTAAAAATAAATAGGAAAAATACATTGGGCATTGTTGCTTTAATAGTGAACTCCTTTGTCGTATTAAAAGGGCATTTCCATTCTTTTTTAGAATGGAAATTAATGTTGTTTTAAAAGCTTATGTCTCTGCTATAGTCGTGCTTATTAGCTACAACATTTCCTGCCACTCTAAAATGTGCATACATATGGAAGCTGCGTGTTTGATGGAATGGAGGTATTCCTGATCTCCCCTAGGTATGGAGCTTTTTGAAGAAGCACTGCGTCGGTGGGAGCAGGCACTAACTTTCCGCAACAGGCAAGTTGAAGATGAAGCAAGTTGTGGTTCCATTAAGCTGGGAGCAGGAGACGCAATTGCAGAAGAAAGTGTAGAAGTGAGTATACTCAAGCTATAATCTACTGCTGCTGCCCTAACAATTCATTGCACTTTGTTACCTGAATCTTTTTAGCTTCTAATTCTATTTCCTAAACTGAGAATGGACTCAAATTTCCAATTTAGTGGTGTTGCGTTTAAAGGATACCTAGTTTTGTTCCTTTTGATTTCTTTGGTTGGTTATTTGGAGGAGGGTGGGGGAAGAGAATTAGCGTTATTTGTTTTTTAGCAATCGCTATTGCATCAGTGTTTGCTTCTGGGTGGTATTAACCAAGCATTCTAGTTCTCTCCACAAAATCCCTTGGGTCATCGCTTTCTTTTATGACTATGTGAGAGGATACCTGCTTAGCAAAGATAAAGGTCTTGGGAAAGATGATCAATTTATGAATAGTCACAAATAATGTGCATGAACTTTATTTATATTCCTTTGTTCCTTTGAACTAAATGCTAAAAATATTTTGAAATAAGCATATACCTGTGTGGCTTTCATTATTTCTAGTGCATTAAACATCACAGGTAAAGTACTTTAAGATTTAGACTTTATTTTTATTGAGCTAAGTAATACACATGTATGTTTAAAAAAGTGTGTATGTTTTGGATGTTGAAATATTCATCTGACAGTGTCAGTGGCATGGTTTGATCTTTGAAGGCTTAATAGTCTTAGATTTTACAAAGGAATCTTACAGGCTATAAACGAATAGAAAATATTCTAATATCTATCCACTTGCAGGATATCATTAGTGCTGAATTCATTCATAAGCTTGAATCCCTTCTTCAAAGAGCTTACCGTCTTCAGGAGGAGTTTGAAGCCACCCTTGGGGCCTCTGATCCTGCTTCTCTAGCTAATGATATTGGTAAGTACTCCTCTATTTTACATTTTGATTGGTTGTAATAATGACTCTTGGAGGGGGGAGAGAGTCAAGAAAGTATTGAGTCATCAGAATTATGTTTATCAGAAAATTAAGAGAAAAAAATTCAGGGTCTTTACATTATTAGGTAATGTTTGATGTAATGCTTGTATTTTAGTTAAGAATGAACTGAGAGGAATTTTTTTTCTTTGTGGCTTGTCAGTATACTTGAGAATTTTCATAATACTTCTCAATTTTCTGAAGGTTATGTTGTCTTGGGTATTTAAACATTTATGCAGAGAATATATGACCTTTGAACTGTCGAACTGTATGTATATACTTTTTCTTTGTTTGTTTGTCAGTCAGAATTTTTTTACAAAAAAACAACCCTAAAATCAAACCAGAAAGACACTGTTTGAAACATGTATCTGTTGCCAAAGCTCTTATCCCTGGTGATTGAAATGTATCACAGTTATGAGTAACTAAACCCAGGATTTTAAATGGCAAATATGGTAAGTAGTTGCTGCAAGACATGCAGATTAAGTACTGATAGTTTGATTATTTTTATTTAAAGACTTGGTTTAAGGTGTTTTTAAAGACTGATACTGTTATGCACTTTCATAATTCAAGGTCAAGCATCTGATCTCAAATAACTGTCAGACTTTAAAGGCAGAACATGTTCTGGGATTAGTTTTAGTCAGAAGTCTTGTTTGTTAGGCTTCAGCTTGACTGACACAAGGTGGCAGTACTCTCATCTCGTAGCCCTCATGTTCTCCTGAAATTCCTAAATACAGCTCTAAGTAAGATGGGAATTAAATTCAGGTCAGAGCTGGCTTTCTGACATACCTGCATACACCTATTAATGTAATTCTTAAAGCAGAAAAATGTTTGAATGTTCTATTTTGGTGTCTGAAACCATAAGCCCTAAATAAAATTGCATTGTATATCCATTATTAGAAGTTTATTTGTAATTTCTGTCTTCAGACAAAATTAATAAAATGGTATTCGAAGGACTCAATGTGATGTTCAATATTTTTGGTTATTGTATTTAGTTACCTTGGAAGTATTTTAAGTTGATATTTTATTTTTTAGATGTGATAACTGAATTCTTGTTTATCAAGAATATCCTGGAAATTGAATTCCTTTCAGATGTTCTTTATAGAAACAGTTTGTGATCTCTTAAGTAGATATCTGTTACTTTATTATGAATTTTATTTGTGCTGGCCCAGATGAGTGAGGAAGACAAGTAATTAAATGGTTTAGTGAGTAGTGTTTTCGTTGTTTAGGATTTGGGACTTTTTCATCATTATCTTGAATTTGTGGCTTGAACAGCAAGTAATATATTAAAGAATCCTCACTTTCTCAGAATGCTTTAGAAAAAAAGCGGAACAACATCATCTGCTTCCAAGCACTGTGGAGCTTGGAAGATTTAATGCAGAGAATGTTTTTGGTCAGTGTTAGATTTAAAAACATTTCATCACTCAAAATTTCTCAGATAATTTACTTTCCTGTAGGATATGTCACTGAGTGTAGGGTATAAATGTTTGAAGTAGGATGTTTTTGAGACTGACAGTTTTTTGGTAACTGACCTTGGAAAGAGAGAGAAGTATGATTGGGAGAATCCTAGGGGCTGTCTTATGGGTCTGTTCCCTTCCCCCTTGGGTTTGGTTTTTTGTTCCCTTTTTTGTATTTGGTAACCTAGTTAGAGAAGATGAAAGCCGCTGTCAAAGAGACTTTCCTTTGCTAACCCAAAATGTACGTGTTCACATGTAATACTTTGTTTCACTTCTGTTCAAAGCATTGTATTACTCTTTTAGGAAGTATCCTAGTATAAACATTGATCACCTTTTTTCCTTTTTGTGTGTGTTCGCACATGTGCATGTATTAACAACAACAGGAATGGAAGGATTCAAGAGTCACAAGAATAAGCAAGTCCAAGAAAATTATGAAATCCCAGTGGCCAAACAAAATTGATAGTACAACATTCTTTACCAAGAATAAGAATGATATCCTACTGCAAAATACAAATGACAGTTCTGAAGAGAAACAGAAACGAAGGTGCCTCTGCTCTGCAGGAATGTACATAATTTGTTGCAAAAGAGGCATTTGCTAAATCAGAATCAGTAGTCCTGGACGATTTACGCCCAAAACTTCTTAAAGAAGCTAGATAAAGTAAGGAAACACCCTAATCCATCATTTCCTACTTAGGAATCTTGGAAAGTGGAAAATGTTCCAAATGATTGGGAAATCGCTAATTTAGTTACAAATCTTAAAAAACCAAAATCAAACAAACAACCCCCCCCCCAAAAAAAGGAAAAAACCAACCCCCCCCCCAAAAAAAAAAAAAACAAAACTAAACAAAACCCAGCCAAACAAAAATCAACCCCAAAACTCCCAACAGCCAAGTTAAGCATCATGCCTGTGAAATAAGAGAGTTGCTAATTTGCAGTAATTACTGTCAGTTGCTACAGTTTCATGGTAGGTAGTTCTTCTTGGACTGTAGGTTTTTGAGAGATCTGCAATTTGGGGGATTGATATAGCATACGTTAGATGATAATAACTAGCTCATCGAAGTGAACATTTGTTTATACTTCTATCGGCTGTTAAGTGAAAGATTTGCTTCCCTAGGGGGAAGATGTTTGGTCAAAGGCTGTAATTTTATCAACTATGTAGTTGATGATAAAGTAGAGCTGGAAGTTGATAAAAGAGTCTCATTTAGAGCATTAAAAGCATTGACTTAATGAAAAGGCAAGGGCAGTAATACTGATCTGAATTATCTGTTTAAATGGTTACAGTCAAATCACATTTGAATCCAGGCAAGTACAGATTGTACTTAGAGTTGAGAGATCTTAAAAGAAAAAATAATAAACGCTCTTGGAATGTATTAGGAAAATTATGTATCACAATCAGTGTATGTTCTCAGCACATTGCTGTAAAAAAAAAGAGACCATTGCTAATCCTTGGGTTTATGTAAAGGACAGCATCACCATAGAGGCAGAGATACAATCTTGGGTTTATATGGCTTTAAAATGCTGTGTCCAGTTCTGTTTGTATTCCAGAAGATACGGAAATATTAGACAGCTCAAAACAGGCCATAAAAATGATCCATGTTTTGGAAAAACTTAAACATGGTTTGATTGCATATGACTGTCTCCTTACTGAAGAAAATACTGAGAGGTGACTTACTTGTTTGGAATAGTTACTTACACATGGAAAAGGTATGTGGTGCTGGGGGATTTGTAGACCTTGTTGTCAAAGTTATAACTAGATCCAGTTTCTGGTTGTTCTAGTGACACAAGTTGCCTCTGAACTGTGATGAGGGTATTTCAGTGTTTTAGACAGAGGTTTGTTGTTGGCTGCTTTTTTTTTTTTTAAATGTTTTTACTTCTCTTTGAAGAAGAGTTGGACTTGAGGGTAAATGGTCATTGGGGTCTTTCTGGCATATCAGTGTTTTCCCTTAGTACTGCTATTTTTACTTCTTCTGTGGGCCTTGGTGAGAACAAGAAAAAGCCTTTGTTGTCCTTAATAGGTTCATAAGTCTTGCAGCTTGTCATTAGAGTGCTTATAACCAGCTCTTACACTTCAGGGTTTCAACTGTTGATCCACAGTGGTAATCAGAAAATGTTTTCCAGTGTTTTTTCTGGTAGACATGTTAGTTAGAACTAGTTTGTGGATTTTTCTTCCATTTTCTCCATCTGAAGCACTTTTGTGGTTAGCCACAGCTGGAGACAGGGCTCTGACTGCTGGACAAATGCTATCAAGTGTTATCAAAAGATTCACTACGTAAATGTCTGACTAGCAGTTCTTATTCAGAAATCGGTCAGGAAGGAAACTTAGAAAGGTAAAAATTTCCATCAATTTCTGGTTTTCAGCTTTCTCTGTAAAGTCTGTAAGACTTCTGAGGCTCTTGAAACTACCCTGTCTCCTACTTGTCTACTAGTCACACATGTCGTTCCTCCGCAACACCTTTAAATGTTATTCTTCCCTGGTCACCATTTCTCTCTACATAATCAGATTAAGATCTTAGTGCTGCCATTGATCAATCATACCACAGACTAGCTTTCACTTTATGATCCCACTTACTAGCTGAAGTTGGTTGCCATGATAAACAGTTTGCCAAACAGCTTTGAGAAACAGCTTTCTGGAGGAGACATGCTACATGGGAGAGTCAGGAATGAGTTACCTTGCATGCTGTAATCTAATTGACTTTTGTTTGATTTTTGTGTAAATTAGCATGTCCAAATGTTTTTTTATTTCCTAGTTATATGTAAATTAAGTATTTTCTTTTCCAGATACTTCTGAGTATTCAACTTCTAGCAGTGCAAAAGATACTGGTATTTATAAGTACCTTTTCTCCCTGTGGGTATAATTCTATAAATAGTATAAATAGTAATGATTATTTACAATTATTTTTATTATTTTCAACTCTAACCTATTGTGGACTTATAAACAATGAATACAGTCCTGAAAAAGACTGTTAAATAGATGAAATAATATAACACAGTTATGTTCATTGTTGTTGCATTATTCACTGGACTTTCAGAATTATCTAAATAAACCAGCAAGTTAAAAGAGGATTTCTATAGCAGAACCATTTCTGGACATGAAATTAATATAAATACATAGGGCTGCTGCTGTTTCTATGCTAATCCTTTTAGAGCTGTGAAACAACATGGGAAACCTAGAAACAGGCTTTCCTGAGGCAGGCATAAGCTGTACTGAATCAGGAAGGAGGCAATTGGTAGAAAACTGTGAAACAAAATATTCATCGTCTTATTTCTGAGGGGGTAGAGGGTTAAAAGTTTCCAATACTTTCCATCATCTGTCCTTGAAAAAAGTTCTTTTTTTTTTTTTCTTTTTTTTTTCTTTTTTTTTTAATTCTTTTTAGATCTGTTCTAGCAGACCGAAATGTTGGTTGAGTTAACTTGGGAGGAATGCAGAGTTAGGACAGAAACAATAGCTTTACTTACAAGCAGAATTACAGGTCAGAGGGGAAAATTCTCAAA